TTTTTTTTTTACCCGTCTTCTGCGGTCCCACAATCAGTGTGTTAGGTAACGTAAGATTTGAGCAATTCAGAGACGGAGGCAGTATGGCCTTGTGTCGAGGATCGCTGCAGGGATTCTAGAAAATCTCACTTTGGAAGAAGAGAGAATGGATGGGTAAAATAGAAATACGTACACTCCAAACTGGCAACTTTTCCTGTGGCATTAGTGAAAAGTACATTTTGGCGGTAAGAACCGGATTTTGCCAATGCAGTCGTATATTCGTCCAACATTGAATGAATCTTACAAGATTATGAAACGTGTACAATGCCAACCTATCATGAGCAAAATTCTGCTGATGAGTCATGAATATTGAAACCTGAACGAGAATCTTAACACAACCGACCAAACCTAGAAGATCAATATGAAAAGTCAAACTTACTGGATTTAGCAATATGGTGAAAAAAAGATCGCCTCCATAAATCAGGCTTGCTAATTTAGCAAAACCACCAGGGTAATTATGGAAAAATTGAGTGTGGGTGTATAGACCACAAGTTTGTCTAGGGAGAACCTAGAAATTGAGAAAAGGTTATCCTGATTTGTAACATTCTATTGATGTAAGATTGCGCTAATGTGCATTAAGAATATTATTTTACCGAAACGTTCAGATGGATAAATCCTTTTCTTTCCGAAGCAGGCTTGAAGTGAGGATATTCTTCTGTAGCAGTGACCTCGACCTTCCAGACCTGTAACGAGCAAACGAGCATATCATTGCAAAAACTTCACGACAATCAACTGAGCTATCAGATTGATTTATTGTAAGAATACGATGATGGAACAATCTCTTCGGGCCATTGCTTAGGTGATTGAAAAGATAAAACGCAATCGTAGTGGAGAAAGTTCTTATCCTACCAGTATTTCAAATTTCTTTTGCCTAGCTCACCGAAAAATCCTCTCAACATCAGATACAATCTGAAGACCGCAATTCCAACTCCAATAATGTTCTACAGTATTTGGTGTGTCTTGGACTAGAGGAGCGTTTTAAGATAATCCCATAAGACTGTGGAGGTACTCTTTTTCATACTGTACATCTTGCACATTGTTTTAGACCCCCTCTAGTTTGCAACCTTTACTACTAAAAGTACACTACAGCTTATGATATACAGCAAATAACCAACACTCGCGAAGCGAATGATCTATTGTTACTTTAACTGCGCCTCAATGACTTAATTTACAGAGCTAAAGGGTTCAGTAAATGGCAACATCTACTGATCGAAACTTCTCCAAGCGAGCTCTGAGGCATCCTCGTCTGCATTCTGTCTCTAGAACTCAACTCAATACGAGGTTTAAGGAAAACTATAAAAAAATCTACATTGAATGCACCCATTATGAGTCAGCTTTCTCTCATAGGTCCGGTGCTTGAGCTATGAAGTACTCTCGAGTGGGCAGCCTTACAAACTTCTTATCAGTTTCACATGATCTAATCCAAGATGGAATGTTTTGGGGTAAAGAATATTGCTCTGTTACATCAAAGAATTGGTATAATTTCGTTTTTCATGATAGCGTAGATCTCAGAATGAACAACCTCAAAAAGGGATTGAATTTTCAGTTCCAATTTTCCAAGAGACATATAAGCAGAATGGATGTAAGAGTTAAGAGAAAACGAGATTATCACATAAAAAGCACATATGAATAAGCAACCTTTTTCCAGGCTGTATATAATTCCCAATGAACGGGGTAAACACCGTCGTGCTGCGGAGCTATAGCATAGGGATACTTCACCGGTAAGCGCATGTTCTGAAGTGAAGATTGAAACCTATAAAAAATCAAAAAGCTGGTACTATATCCGACCAGACCTGAGCGAACAATAGATTCTGCGACATCGTTGCCTCCAAATACGTTAGGTTGTGCTCGTGAGCGTGATTATGACGCCACATGTGAGGAAACCAAACGAAATTATTCGCTAACTCTTGAGAAATACATATGAACTATTCCCGGACAAAAAATAATTCTGTAACAGACCAACGAGTAACTCATCGCCTTTGTCTTCGTCATCGTCTCCATTTCTGAAATAGCTACCAGAAAACCCAAGCATGTATGTAAAGTTGGTGATTGATCGACGTAGAACGTCTTGACTCTCCAGCAGCGCTCTGAACCCGCAGTCTTGATGGTGAAGATAAAAGTGATACAAAGGATGCTCACTTAACATCACTTTGCACCATTCTCGTCCCACGTGCACCAACGAATACGTCATCAATGTCAATTTGGAGGTAACGGTCTAAGCTCCATCCTATCCGTCCTCCTGTCGTATACCACAGAACATCAATGTAAGTCATCTGAATTTGGATATATTGAAGACATTTACAATGAAAAAGTAGGATACGTGAGGCACAAACAAAACTTGAAGCAGGCTCTATCCGATTCATGTAAAAATCGCAATTTGCAAATAGCATACAACTAGTGATACTGGGAAAAAAGCTGTGAATTCTAGAAAAAAAAA